CTAGCCATACCCTTACTGGTATTTGAACCTGGGCTATATTACATACTAGGCAGACTTCTTAGCCATTAGGCCACAGGCTCTTATCCGTTATCAGCGAATATATATATATTGTGGTGAGCAAAATGGGTGCAATATTAATCCACAGATTCCGAATGGCCGAAGGAAACAGAGACAGGTAATCTAGGGCTCTCTTTTAGTGCATCCATCTCTCAAGATCCCCTCCCGGCAAATTAGCCATCACCTGGATAGTCTACTGGCTTTATGTGAGCTACTTAATCGACACAGAGAATCCCTCTTTGGCCACCTGCTGCGTCTCTGCTTACAGCTCATCTTTTTATCTCCAAGAACACACCCCACGGAGTTATATTTCACTGCTCCAAAGTTCCCCAGACAATGTTTTCCCCACCGAGTTTGCTTTGCTTCATTCTTCTTCTTCTTCTCTCTCTCTCTCTCTCTTTTGAGTTGTTGGTTTGTTTGGTGAGGACACCTCTTTAGTTTTCTTGCTTGTCCCTCCGACGCGAACAATTGTTGGCCTTTCTTTGTAAGTGGCCTTGGTGGGAAAGAAGGGGGCAGTCGGGGAAGCAGAAAAAGACGACCGGCTCTCCTTCGTCAAAGAAATTTGCGGGTTCAAGATGGAAGACTCTCAGCCCAAGAAATCCCCAAAGATTGAAGCCCTTTTGACAGGTCGGGGAAAAGCGGTGATTATACTGTAGGGTGGTGTGGTGACAGGTGTTGGAATATAGCCTGGTGTGGATTGTAAACCATGGTTTGTTGCTTGGTGTCTTTGTGAATCCAACTAGTTGTGGGTTAAGCAAACATGTTTTTGTATATACTGTAAACATGACCAGGGATTCATTATTAGTTAGATTCTTTGAATGATAAATAACTAGCCGATAACCTGGCGTTGCCCGGGTATTTATTTATAGGGGGAAAATGTCTAGACCAAACGTAATTTCTAATCTTGGATTTTCCCTCTTACTTGAGGGAACCCCTTGTGGAGTACTGTGAAGCCGTTACAATGGCAACTCCACTGGATGTACAGTAGAAGCCATTTAAAGGCACAACAGGTTGCATCTTAACAGAACACCGAGGGGTTTTAGGGGTGTCTTACCCCCACAGTATTTTTCCCAAGAGAGTAAGTCATTTATGTACCAAGTTTGGTGGAAATTGCTCGAGGATTTCCAGAATTATGCTGGAAAACACACACACACACACACACACACACACACACACACACACACACACACAAATAAAAAGTGTTTTTTCTTTTGTCAAAGCACCTGGTGTGCCC